GGTGGTTAGAGCAAATGAAGGATATTTATGCGTCTGAGGAAGGAGAACAGGTTATCACTAGAAAAGATGAGGGATTCTGTGTGGATGAATGACTTTTTTAAGCGTTTTCTTCGTCTTCCTAACCAATCATTCACATCACAACATCTCTCTCATCACACCATGCCCTGTCCTTGCCTCTGGCCTCGGGGTTATTTCCCCTTCGTCATCCAATCTGTATTTGCATTATGTCATTTTTTTAAAACTAGAATATCCTCCCTCTTTTTTATCTTTTATCTTTTTTTTTTTTTCTTCTTTTTTGTTACTAGAATGTCCTCGCTTTTTTTTCTTTTACAAAAAGGAATAATTGAAAATATATCTTTGGCTCATTGTTTGTTAAGTTAACATAATTTATGCAAAATGAAAAATGAAAATAAACATTGTTCACTTATTATTCATACTTCATTGTTATTTTTTTTTCTCTCTTTAGCTCCTTTGATTTATGATCAAATTGTTAATAATGATAAAAAAGTAATCTACATCAGTTAAGTATTGTTTTTTTTTTTCATTTACTAGTAATTTCATATGAACAAACTCTTCACTTAGAGCTGCCTACCCCTTTTCTCCTCAAAGCTTCAAACACGACTTTTTCCCCTCCCACTCTCTTCTTCTGTTCCCCTCCTCTCCCTTAAACTCTCCTCTATGTTCCTCTTCCTTCCTTTTCCCAACCCCTTCCTTCCATTCTCTTATTTTTTCCCCTTCTCCCCTTCTCCTCTAAACCTCACGCTCTCTTAGCCCCATCTCTCCCTTCACCTCCCAATTCCATCTACTTATTATCATAGTTATACCAGAAACAGCGCTTCTCCCGTGAGATTCTTTGTCTCTCTCTATCTTCTCTTCTCTTCCCTCTATCTTCGCCTGCTTTATCCCATCTCCTTGTTATCACAGTTATACCAGGAACTTGCTCCCACTTCCTTGAGCATTCTGACTTTCATTTTCTTCCTCTACCTCTTTATTCTATCTCTTTATCACAGTTATACCAGAAATTTCCTCCCACTTTCTTAAGCTTTCTGACTTTACTTTCTTTTCCTCTATCTCTTTATGATCACAGTTATACCAGGAACTTAGTCCCACATCCTCAACCTTTCTGACTTTACTCTCTCTTCCACCTCTTTATTCCATATCTTTATCATCACAGTTATACCAGGAACTTAATCCCACTCACTGGTGGTCGTCTTGCAGGAGGAGGTCGTCACCGCGGCAGGGACAGGCACGTCGTACAGGCTGCAGAGGCCGTCGGCGAAGCAGTAGACGCTACACCCCGGCTTCTGGCTAGCGTAGGAGGCGCAGGAGAGCTCCGTGGGCGCGTCGAGTGTCTCAGCGGGGGCGACAGCAGCAGGGACGTTGGCCGTCAGCCACATCGTGCCCTCGCTGGTGACGCTGCCCGATTCGACCAAGGCAGCGGCGCTCGTTAACAGCAGCAGCAGCAGCAGCATGGTGGTGGTCTGGTGGTGCAGTTTGGACGCGAGAGGAATTTAGTTCTGCTTTGGTTTAAGTCACACCAGGCAAGGGGGGGGGGAGGGCAGATATAGACATATAACTGAATAATCATAAATAATAGATAAATAAAAATGATATTAAGACGGATAACAATGGTAACCACAAGGAGATTGATGATGGCAGACAAGAAGAACATCATTCTATTACAACCAATAATATAACGCAAATTCAAACACATGCAAATATGGGAATAGGAAATCAACAACTGAAATTCTACAACCATGCCCATTCCCAGAGAAACAAACAAACAAAAACAACCAAACAAACAACCTGATTTAACAAAACCCCAACATACGAACCTGACTGAAATGCAAGAGAAAAAAGGAATTACTTACAGCAGAGTGAACAAAGTGAACAGAGTGAACAGCCAGCAGAACAGGCTTCCTACTGTTCAGCCCAGACACTGAACAAGAACAGAGCAGAAAAAAGTAGAAAACCTGCGTGCGATATTCGAGAAAATTTATGGTTTCGTGATCTATCGAAAAAAATCATATCTATATCACATTGTTTCTGTTCTTTCTTGTATTTTGGGGAAGAGAAATGACACAGAGGTCGTTTAATATTCATTCGCTAGTCTCCATTTTTTGTTGTTGATTAAATTTGTTATAAAGGTAAACCACTATAAAGTTATGGGAGTATATATGGCCATACATATCAGTCTACCCAGCTATAACGTATACAAGAAATATTGAGAACAAAATTAGTCACGAATACCCGGACTTTGATCCTGCATATACAGTACTCATTTTTATATTATATTTCTATAAAAAAAAAAATTGTATTTTATATAGTTTTCTGTGTTTATCATAAGATTTGGAAAGGAAGGAATTTTTGTATTTTCTGTTTTCATTTATCCACCTATCCTTATTCCTATCCCTATTCTTTTTCTTTCTTTATCAATCCCTCGACCTTATTTTTTTCAATTACCAATCTATCCTTGTTTATATTTTTTATCATTGTTTTGGTGTGATTGGTTTTATGAATTCTCGACATATCTATGAATTTCAACAATGCAACGTAAATGTGTCCACTTTGGCACTGCCTCGCTCTCCTTTCATTATTAATTTGTGAGTGGTATACATGTGGAAGAATTTTTATTTTTCTGATTTATTCTTCTTGTGACATTCCTCTCTCTCTTTTTTTCTCTCTCTCTCCTTTCCTTTATCCGCCTCCCCTTCTCTCTCTTATTTATCTATTCTCTTTTCACCCTCCTCTCTCTCTCTCTCTCTTTTGATATCACAAGAATGAATTTTTCAACCAACAAAAGTAGTGCAATTATATGTATATATATATATATATATATATATATATATATATATATATATATATATATATAATATATATATATATATATATATATATATATATGTGTGTGTGTGTGTGTGTGTGTGTGTGTGTGTGTGTGTGTGTGTGTGTGTGTGTATTAATATATTTATCATTATCATTTCAATTTGGATCATCCTAGAAAGAGAAAAATAGTTCCTCTTATTCCTTAATGTGACATATTTCTACCAGTTGGCATTTTACGCTTTTCGACGTCGCCATATTTCCGTTGTTTTGACTGCAGGAACTCGCTGGATAAATTTTTGAACAGCTGATACTTCTATACTTGTTTGTGTTCTGGACTGACAGTTCGACTCAATTTAGCGATTCTCTAAACCAGCGTTGTCCAAACTGGGGTCCGCACACCCCTAGGGGTCCTCAACATAGATCATGAGGGTACGTGAACAAACGAGGAACACACACAAACAGAAACATCACGTTAATAAAATCATCTTTTTTATTTCATTAAATTCGAATTTATGACCAACACTCCTGCAATGTATTTTCATAATTAGTAAATTATCTTCATTATCCTAAATAAAACTGTTTAGTCATGGTGGACGGGGGGGGGGGGGTCGTAACAATACAAGGTAATAAAAGGTACAATTGGCGAAAATGCTGGGAACAACCACTCACTCCTCCCTCCTCTCCTCTCTCTGGGGTCACTCAACTCCTCCCTCCTCTCCTCTCTCTCTCTCTGCTTTGCTCTCACTAACTCATGACACTCAGACTCCTCCCTCTCTATCTCTCTCTGGTGCTTTCTCCACTCACTCCTCCTCTCCTCTCTCTGCTTTGCTCTCGCTTTCTCACTCACTCCTCTCTCCTCTCCTCTCTCTGCTGCTTTTTCTCACTCACACTCAATGCTGCTTTCTCACTCACTCCTCTCCTCTCCTCTCTCTGCTTCTCACTATCACTCACCTCACTCACTCACTTCCTCCTCTCCTCTCTCTGCTTTTTCTATCTGCTTTCTCACTCACTCCTCCTCCTCTCCTCTCTCTGCCTACTCCCTCTCTCCTCTCTCTGCTTTGCTCTCACTCACTCCTCCCTCCTCTCCTCTCTCTGCTTTCTCTCATCTCACTCACTCCTCCTCTCTTCTCTCTCTCTGCTTTCTCACTCACTCCTCCCTCTCCTCTCTGCTTTTGCTCTCACTCACTCCTCCCTCTCCTCTCTCTGCTTTGCTCTCACTCACTCCTCCCTCTCTCTCTCTCTCTGCTTTTCTCACTCACTCCTCCTCCTCCTCCTCTCTGCTTTGTTCTCACTCATTCTCTCTCTGCTCTCACTCACTCCTTCCTCCTCTCCTCTCTCTGCTTTGCTCTCACTCACTCCTCCCTCCTCTCCTCTCTCTGCTTTCTCACTCAGTCAACTCACTCCTCTCTCCTCTCCTCTCTCTGCTTTCTCACTCACTCTCTTTCTGCTTTCTCACTCACTCCTCTCTCCTCTCTTCTGCTTTGCTCTCACTCACTCCCTTCCTCTGCTTTTCTCACTCACTCCTCTCTCTCCTCTCTCTGCTTCTCACTCACTCCCTCCTCTCCTCTCTCTGCTGCTCTCACTCACTCTCTCTCTCTGCTTTGCTCTCTCACTCCTCCCTCCTCTCCTCTCTCTGTGACTCACTCACCTCCCTCCTCTCCTCTCTCTGCTTTGCTCTCACTCACTCCTCCCTCCTCTCTCTCTCTCTGCTTTTGCTCTCACTCACTCCTCCCTCTCTCCTCTCTCTGCTTTGCTCTCTCACTCACTCACTCCTCCCTCCTCTCTCCTCTCTCTGCTTTCTCACTCACTCCTCCCTCCTCTCCTCTCTCTGCTTTCTCACTGCTCTCTGCTTTTCTCACTCACTCCTCTCTCCTCTCTTGCGTTTGCTCTCATCACTCCTCCCTCCTCTCTCTCTCTTTGCTTTTTCTCACTCACTTCTCCCTCCTCTCCTCTCTCTGCTTCTCTCACTCTCACTGCTCTCACCTCCTTCTCCTCTCCTTCTCTCTTGTTTTCTCAACTCATCCCTCCTTCCTCCTCTCTCTGCTTTCTCACTCACTCCTCCCTCTCTCTCCTTTCTCTCTCTCCTGCTCTCTGCTCTGCTCTCACTTCCTCCGCTCCTCTCTCTCTCTCTCTTTCTCACTCACTCCTCTCCTCTCCTCTCTCTGCTTTCTCACTCACTCCTCCCTCCTCTCCTCTCTCTGCTTTGCTCACTCCTCCCTCCTCTCCTCTCTCTGCTTTCTCACTCACTCCGTCCCATCCTTTTTCTCTGCTTTGCTCTCTCACTCTCCCTCCTCTCTCTCTCTCTGCTTTCTCACTCACTCTCCTGCTCCTCTCCTCTCTCTGCTTTCTCACTCACTCCCTCCTCTCTGCTCTCTCTCTCTCCTCCTCACTCACTCTCTTCCGCTACTCTCTCTCTCTCTGCTTCTCTCATCTCCTCCTCCTTCTCTCTTCTCCTCCCTCTCTCTCTTACTTTCTCACTCACTTCCTCCCTCCTCTCTCTCTCTCTGCTTTACTCTCACTCACTTCCACTCCTCCTCCTTCTCTCCTGCTTTTGCTCTCACTCCATCCTCCCTCCCTCTCCTCTCTCTGCTTCTCTCACTGCAAGTCTCTCACTCTCCTCTCCTCTCCTCCTGCTTTTCTCTTCCTTCTCCCTCCTCTCCTCTCTCTGCTTTCTACTCACTCCTCCCTCTTCCTCTCTCTGCCTCTCACTCACTCCTCCCTCATTCCTCTCTCTGCTTTCTCACTCACTCTTCCCTCCTCTCTCTCTCTGCTTTCTCACTCCCTCCTCTCCTCTCTCTGCTTTGCTCTCACTCACTCCTCCCTCCTCTCTCTCTCTCTGCTTTCTCACTCACTCCTCCCTCTCCTCTCTCTGCTTTTCTCTCACTCACTTCTCCCTCCTCTCCTCTCCTCTCACTGCTCTAAACCAATGTCGCATGTTTATTGTGCGTTTTCTTAAAATTGCTTTAAATGTACATTTTTGTGTCTCTCTCCCTTTATCTGTCTGTCTACCTCTTTCTCTCTCTTTCGCTATGAGTCTGTCCCTGTCTCTCTCTCTCACTCTTTCTCTCTATGACTTTGTCCGTGTGTTTGTCTGCCTGCCCCTCTCTATCTCTGCCTGTCTCTCTCTTTTTTTATCCATCTGTGTCTATCTATTTCTCTCTATAGAAAAGAAATTATGGAAATATATTGGTTTTATAAGCTTAAGGAAGGAAAAAACGCTTACTTTATTAATGATCAAAGTCGTTAACAAGTACAATGGCGTTAAATGAGTCATAACAACCTACTAAAGTGAGGAAGCAGTATCTAGCTGTTGATCACGGCCCTTCAGGCAGACCTCGGCTCACAGGAGACATTCCCACAGATTTACTCACTGGAAATGAAATTCAGTGAAACTTTATTAATTGCACTGAATTGAAATGAAACTCAATTGAAATGAAAACAATGAAATAACTCAATTGAAAATGAAAAGTTGAAATGAAAATGAAATGAAACTCAAAATGAAACAATTGAAATGAAACAATGAAATGAAAAATTGAAATGAACAATGAAATGAAAAATTGAATGAAAAACAATGAAATGAAACTCAATTGAAATGAAACAATGAAAAATAAACAATTGAAATGAAAAATGAAATGAAATAAATGATGAATCTCAATGAAACTCTTTTAATTGCATTGAACTGAAATGAAACAGTTGAAATGAATGAAAACAATTGAAACTCTTTTAAAGGTGGATGGTCTTTGTGCTTTAAATTTTGTGGTAGACTTACGTGTTTTGAAACTTTGATTTTCTGGAGGTGGCGCAGATGTGATTTCTTTATTATCGTTAATGCAGATATAGACAAATAACTGAATAATAATGGTGTTATATGAAATCTTGCAATGTGTTTTTTTTTCGATTTCCTACAACATCATTACTATTTAGGCATCCCTCTAAAAGAACAAAATCTAAACTTATGCTATTTACTAGATTATTTGACTGGTATACATACATATATATATATATTATATATATATATATATATATATAATAGATAGATAGATAGATAGATAGATACATATACAAGTATACTATATAGTATATATATATATATATATATATATATATATATATATATATATATATAGATATATATATATATATAATATATAGAGAGAGAGAGATAGATAGAGAGAGAGATAGATAGATAGATGGATAGATACATGTACACATATAAGTATACGGATAAATATATTATCAATCCTGCTGCCTAGTTCTATTTCAAAGAAGTTGACGTTGATTTACTAGATAATGTATGCAAACACATATTTTTTTTTTCGAAGGAAAGAAAAGAAAGGCGAGGAAATCCGAGGATGATGAAAGGGCGTTGCCTGGAGGTAAGCTTCGAAATCAGGGGATGGATTACTGACCAACGAGTCTAATTATTTTTAATTCGTATAGTTGTCACATTTGTTCTGAAAAGTCAGGTCGTAGAAAGACTCGATATTGATAACATGACACACACACACACACACATATATATATATATTTTACATATACATATGTATATATATATATATATATATATATATATATATGCATATGCATATATAATATATATATTATATATATATATATATATATATATATATATATATATATATATGTTATGTATATATATGTATATATATATATATATATATATATATATATATATATATATATATATATATATATATATATATATAGATATAATAAATAATATAATATTATATAAGTAATATAATATATATAATATAAATATATATATATATATATATATATAATATATATATATATATATATATATATATATATATATATATATATATATATATGTGTTGTGTGTGTGTGTGTGTGTGTGTATGTGGTGTGTGTTGTGTGTGTGTGTGTGTGTATTTGTGTGTGTGTGTTGTGTGTGTTATATTTGGTGTGCGTGCGCGTTTATATCTATATTGAGGGTTTGATTGTATCTCCTATGCATGTGTATGTTTGTTTGTGTGTGTTTATGTATGTGTTTGTGTTTGTTTGTGTGTGTGTGTATGTATGTATTCATCAGGTGTTTTTCTCACTTGCTCAAGGCTCAAGAAATCCTCTTTTCTTTTCATCCTTTTTTATTAAGAACACAAGGACAAGATTCACATACTCTGGTGAGGCAATAAGGGTACATACAGTAATAACCCAATCGATCCGAGTTCACATACCAACTGTTTTACACTAAAACTAATATCAAATTATATCTAATCACTTAACTAATGCCTTTCACAAGATATGCTTATAAGAAACAATGAATGTGAATAAATAAAAAATAAAACAAGAAATACAACAAAGAATAAGAATAAGACAACATAGAGTAAAACAAAACAAAATTAGAACAAGAAATACAACAAAGAATAAAACAAAACAAAATTAAAACAAGAAATGCAACAAAGAATAAGAATTAAACAAAAGTAGAACAAGAAATATAACAAAGAATAAATCAAACCAAAATAAAACAAGAAACACATCAAAGAATGAACATCAAACATAATGCACATGTTTCACTTCAATATATACAGGGACACATACATCACATGACATTACTTCCTCTTAGAACTTGAAAAAGGATACAATTTGAGTGTTCTTTTCTTTTCTTATTATCATTTTTTCAGTAAGCATGACGTGTATATGTGTATGCCCGCGCACACACACAGGCAGAACAATAAAAAAGTTAGAACGTAGAATTTCCGCATCACACACTGTTGCATGTATGTGTATTTCAGTGTTCACGGGTGAGTATACGGATATACGGTTCAGATGCAGGCAAGTTCTACCACACATATATACTGCTTAATCCGGCAGTATGGCAGTGATAGCACCTGCCCAACACGAAACTATTATAATTCCAAGAAATATACCAACGATGACTGGCCACGTGATGCTCACTTCGGCATCTCCGCAGTCACATACTTCTTTATCTTGCTTAAATTCACAGGACCTGAAGTTAAAAATTTGAGGTAGAGAAGTGTATTAGTGATTATTATTTAAGGGACACACACACACACACACACACACACTTACAGCCGATAGTTTAGGTTATGGGAACCAACAATTTACATTCAAATACAATCATCAGGAGTATAGACAACCTTTGGAAAAAAATCCTATTCAGGTGAGTACTGACCTATTGATATCTTCATCATCTATACTCAACAAGTATGATTTAGATAACTTACTCTGGACATTTGCACAGGAAGTCAGTGCAGTTAAGCCCTGTTATACAGTCACTAGGTGTTCGGCAATATTCTTCCGGGCGGACTTTGTACTCTGCAACGGAAATTAAAAAAGTGGAATGTATGTTGAGTTTCTCTGAACATCCGCCAGCTCGAGGTAAGTTCTCATAATCCTCTAGGTGGACTCTATACTCTAACTCATTTGATAATTCCCACGAAATCAAAAGTCTCCCCTTAAATGTCCATGCTTTGTGTAGCCGTTTTCTGTGGAGGTTAAGGGGGTGACTAGTCTTGATCATCGGACACTCAGAAATCAAAAGGACAGTCACATCTTTTCAAATACTGAGCTGGGACGTGTTTGTCGTGGGATGAGGTCGGCACTGCCCATCCTAAAATAAGTTTTGTCCACCGAAACATTGTTATATATAGTGATTAGTTATTTCACTGCACTTAATAGACCACAGATCTTCCATTCTTACGTCTTTACTCTTAGCCTTGTTGATATTAATGTTTATCTTTTCGTTATACGGATCCTCATTTTCACACAACACACAACAAAAACAACAACAAAAATGTAATTAAAGTCAAAACTGAACTACGGGTTAAGTTGCGAACCCACTTAGAAGGAACAATACTTTTGTTGCACACCTATACAAGCCAATTACAATCTTCATGCCTACTCTTGATACCTAAATGTTATAGATTATTCATGCAATTCAGATTGTGAATACTGTCTACTGAAACCATACCTGTGACGTTGTTTGCATCCAGGTATTGCTGTTTATGTTGGCAGCTGTTAGTCTCAGGATCAAACCAGTGCGTCCTGTAATTCGGGAAAAGCAATGCATTATGACGCGTTCGTGATCCCCAGAATAATTTTGTTGTCATCATCATCATCACCATCATTATCATCATCACCATCATTATCATCATCATCATCATCATTTTTATCCACCTACTCCTCCTCCTTCTCCTCATCATTATCCTCCTCCTCCTCATCATCATCATCACCATTATCATCACTATCATCATCATCATCATCATCATCATCCTCATCATCATAATAATGCCAGCTGACCCTACAAACCGCGCCCGAAGATGCCAAAGAGCGGCCACATTTCACCGATATGAAACAGATATTTTGCAGCGCCAATTCAGACCTTTAAACTACCACTTACTCGAGACACATACAGGTGCTTTTGGCGCAGGACAGGTTGGCGCTGATGTCACAGAGAACCGCGTAAGTGGAACAGTGTTTCCGAAAGCCTGCCACTGGGAAATATACATAAAGTTTTTTTAGATGCATGATTTACATATATGCATGCTGTAAACACACACACACACACACACACACACACACACAAATATATATATATATATATACATATGTATGCGTGTGTGTGTATGTATATTACACACACACACACGCACAACACACCCACATCCGCACGCACGCACACACACACACGCACGCACGCACGAACGAACATACGCACATACGCACACACACACACACACACACACACACACACACACACACCACACACACACACACACACACACACACACACACACACACACACACACACACATATATATATATATATTATATATATATATATATATATATATATATATATATATATATGTATATGTATATTATAGATATATATGTATACTATATATATATATATATATATATATATATATATATATATATATATATATATATATATGTATATGTATATATATATATGATATATCTATAATATATATATATATATATATATATATATATATATATATATATATATATATATATATATATATATATATATATATATATACCATATCCATCAAGTAATTTCCTTCTTTTTCGGACATGTAAAACAACTCGAGATGAATATAGATGCTTACTGAGTCGGCATCTGTCATTGACGTAAACCCTCCCACGCTCACAGTAACAGTGACCGTCAATACACGCTTGGTTCTCTTCGCAATCTGGGCTACATGCCGGCGCTAGTAGAAAAGAAACAGCAAATAACAACAACAATAATAACAATAAAAGCAACAAAAAAACATATTTCTTAGGATATTCTTATACCCATACCCTTATATTATATTATATTATATTATATTATATATATATACCCTTATATTAACATATGACAAATACAGTTACGACTACAACTATGATAACAGCAACAATAAAAAGGGTATGAATATTAACAACAATAATAACAACAGTAACAGCAATGTGAATAGTAACATCAATAGTAACAAAAGTAATAACAACAATGATATGAATGATCACAATAATAATAACAAATGGCTTTTATTTAATTGTTATCATATTTCAATTATAACAGGAAAATTAGTATATAGTTGTTATGATAATGAAACATGGTAACACTCCTAACACTCGGTAGTATTAAATATATATATATATTTTTTATACTTTTCATTCATTCTTAATTAGCATACCTGGCGTGCACAGAATCTCAAGATTAGTGGTGAATGAAATGTAGTGATTCTTTTGACATTCACAAACCCCATGAACACACTCTTCAGTCACTGGTTGGCAAGCCACAGTTTGGTTGCAAGCTGCTTTTGGCGTGCATTCTGAAAAAAAAGAAAAAAAAGAATTTCATTATCATCAGGATTTCCGGTATGTTTAAATGTCTACATATTTCAAACACATGCTGATGTACACTCAACCACAGATGTTCATGAACACCTGATACAGATATGCAAACAACACTATGTTCTATGCTTGATGTGGCATATATAGTTCCTACAGCCTTAGCTTGAGTTTTATATGATTTAACAAACCTTTTGTCCTTTAGGAATATATCGCATTCCAAATAGCACGTGAACTAAAGAGACTTGGTAGAGAGAGGCAAAACTGAGTTGTTTTCGGTTAATAGAATACTGAATGTAATTTAGTGGGTCAGTGTTGCACTGTGTTAAGGTAGATGAAGACCAGTTTGTTTACCTATTCATTATAAGACCTTTGAGAATGTTCAAAAGAAAGCTAAAGTCTCCTCTCCTATTCTTATATAACTCCCTTAACATATGATCGCAAACTTCTAAGTATATGTTATCTGTCATCATACTGCATATTCATAAGAAGTCTGTCCTTCCAGGTCAAGAAGGACAGGATTTCTCTTTAATGAGGTTCAAAGACAAAAAAGAAAATGGTCACGAACCCATGTACGTATCTGTAGTTGAATGCAAGAATTTGATTTTAACAAGAAGTAATTTTAGGGTAGTAGTATATCTAATAAAAACAGAATAGAAATAAAAGGAAAATGTACGATCATACTCTTGCAATATATAGGATTGTTGTGATGAAAACGAGAAGGCGTTTTTTCTATTACTGAAAGAATTTAGGAAATCGACCTTAAGAATATATCATATACCCTTATTAAACCTCATTTTTTT